ATATTTATTTTATTTTATTTTTGTTTTTTTTTAATCAAACCTAATTTTATTATTAATAGCATGAACTTTTTGTGATTCTCAAAGAAAGAGGTAGAGAATTTGACCTTAATATCGATGCGATATGGCAGAAACAAAGTGACTGCTTGTTTGAAACTATAATCCCTATGCTATATGATCTTTATGCTAAGAGATTTAGTACTGATTGGACTGAGTTAGCTGATATGTTAAAGCAGCATTTCAAATCAAAACATAACACTAGATCTATACATCGAGATAAATCCTGAAGCATGCACTTCGATGAATGCACATATAAAAATTATTGAAAAACTAATGCATGAATTTTTCCTTTATATATATCATGACTTAAAATCAACCTAAATTTCTAGCTAAATTTAGATTGATTTTAAGTCATAATTTACTAAATTTTAGTTTTCAAAATTTAATTAAATTTTTTAATTTAATTTTACAGAAATGTCTCGACGGGCTGCAGCATTCAAGTACCTTCATGAAAAGAAGAACAAGTGAATTTCCAATTATAACCTAGAGGAAGTAATACAATTATTAACAAATAATAATGTCCATTCACCTGAATTAACAGATGCTAGTCAAGAAAAGGACGAGAAAGATCATATGTATGTTAATGTTTATGGCTTGTCTTGGAGGTCAAAAAAGGTATTTTTTTTGTTATATTATACTAGTAAAAATTTGATGATTGATATTTGGTATGTCAAATAATATACATAGCATATCATTCGACGCATCCAAAATCAATCAAATATATAACAAAATTCAATATTTCAAATCTTAATTTATTAATTATATAAAATTTTAATATTTTTTATTTTAATAGTTAATTAACCTATTACATAACATCCTTGATACAACTATGAAACCTAATTTTAGACATCTCCGTCAACCATCATATACACTGATAGCATTCCGGCCTGATAATGTTCCTAATTGGGCAGTAAATGAAAATAAAGATGATGAAAGTAATTATAGTGATGAGGACAAGAATAAGAGTGAGAAGAAGAGAAAGAAGAAGAGAAGGAAGAAGAAGAGAAAAATAGCAGTAAAAAAAGAGACTATGAAAGTGAAGATAGTAACGATAGTAAAGACACATGGATGCATAAAAAAAGAATTGGTAAAAGACTGACTTCTGATTCCATAGAAGAATAACAAAGGAAGCAAAGGGTTTAACCTTTTTTTAGAAAAATCTTTTTTATAAATTCTGTATCTATTTTTTTATTTTATTTTGCTAATAAAAATATATAATTAATAGCAAGTTTTGAATGCTTTTAATAAACTGGTTTTAATTATGTATATAGTAATATATATTCAGTATAAATTTTGCTTTTAAAATTTGACATCCAAATTCTGAACGAATTAAGATTCATCCAGAATTTGGGTGTTGAATTTTCATATTTGAGCCAAAGGTTATTAGTAATTAACTGCCGATTATAAGTTGATTTATTATATTATTTGACCACTGATTAAAATAGCTGATTTGGCCTGAACTCGACTGTTGATTAATTAGCTGAATTTATACTGAATATTTTTAGCAATCGACTGTCAATTAACTACTGATTTTGACTTGTCATTCAGTATAAATCAGCTAATAATTGACAGTTAAGTTTAGGCCAAATCAGCCATTTTAATCAGTAGTCGATTTTCTTATATTTGATTAGTAATAGTAGTTTAATGGTCAGCCCTGATCACAAATATTGGTTCTGCCATAGTGATACTTAGGTTAGCTATAAAAATGGATACAAAAGGCTCTAGGGGGTTTATCTTGAGGATAAATTAGTTCTAAGGTTAAGATGATGATCTGGGCATCTGAGTATGACCTAGTAATGTTAATACAAGTTACAGGTTTAGAGGGTTTAAAGTGAAACATTCAAGTAGAGGTGTTAGATATAGCAATTGGTAGGGAACCTTCAGGCAGACTCTTTAAATAGATAATATAAAACAGTTACACATGTAGCCAATTGTACACTCTTCTGTAGTAGTTCATTGAACTACAATACTGATAAATAATTAATAAAAGTCAAAAGACCAAAGAGGTCATCTTAATACCAAAAAAAAAACAAAAAAAACAAACAACATTCTGTAACCAAAACTCAAAAAAGAATATTTTTCTACAAAAAAATGAATGAAGAACTTTTGTAATCATATACTAATCAAGTAGCTACTAATCTTAGTTCTAACTATACACCTACAACTATTAATATAACAGAATCTTTAAAAACAACATAGCACAAAATTCAGACTAGTATCATCTTAGCTGCTCTTAAACATATTCTCAACAAAAAAGTCATAATGCACAATTTTTAATATATATATTTTGCCAAAGCTTTCTTTTTACATCATAGCTTTAAAAAGCTAAGAAATATAATTTAACAAATTAAAGCCTTATTATGAAACAAAACACCTATATCTATTAGGAATATTAAATTGCAAATCTGATCTGATCTGATCTCAGGATCTATTAGAATGGTCCTGGACCTATTATAAAAAACCATTAATTAATCAATCTCAGGACTGGGTCCTAAATTCTAATTCTTAACAGGTTCATTCAATAAGATTAACAATTGTTTACTTGTTTATACCAAATTTTATTTCTTTTTATCAAAGATAACTACATACTTTATTATATGATTTTTTTTTACATAAAAAAATTTTATAATATATAAAAAAAAATTATATAAAAAAAAATTCTTTTATTAATTAGCATTAGTGCTAACCTCTTCATTTACCTCTTTATTTAAAATTTCATTTAGTTCAGTGTACCAGCTTTTCAAGTACAATGATGCATGTCTCACTTCAGAATTTATATGATTTCAGGTAGGAGTGATCATATGTTTAGTGACAGAAAAAGCTTGTTTACTAGCAACACTAGTGGCTTGCATGGTGAGAAAATCCATTGTGATATGAGTGAGAGTTGGGTATTGTTTAGAATTTGCTTTCCACTATAGCAATAGTTTAGCTTCAGTCTCAGATTCAGACAAGTAGGTTGTAATTTTATACTGATTCTTGTTAACTTAACAGCAATTTGTAAGATTGCAAAAAAGATCATGCATTAATTTAGTAGCAGGTAGTACTGGTAAGTTATTTTCTTTAGCTGGTTTATAATTTTCATACATCTTATAAAGTTTATTAATAGCTTGTTCATGTTCATTTATATCATAGATTAAAAGCTTATTATATAGATCAAGAAGGCTCGAAATTGTTGATGACTTATTCAAATAAACCCAATATAATGCAAATTTTGATTTTATTGCACTGGCTATAGCATGCTATATATTAACCTCTAGATTGTCATTATTGTTTAAATGTATAATTAGGCCACAAAATACCATACGAAGGTCACCTTAAGTAGGAAGTGTTGACAAAGATAGCATTACAGTCATATGATACATAGGCTCAAGAAGTATTAACAGATCCTGTAATTTATACTTATTAGAATTAAGTATTAAAAAAAAAAATTAAATTAACATTACTAACAACAATAATTTTCTATTCTTGATCATTAGGATAACTTGAGTTTAAAGATTGATTGCTTGCTACAAGAATATTAGTCATAGGATAAATTTGTTTAAGTTTTTCTAACATTATATACATGCTATTTCATTTTATATTGATATTAGTTTCAGGCATTAAAAATGGTATATTTTTCATTTCAAAATTTTTTTTTAATTTATAAATAAGTAATGAAGAGTTTCGAAGCTTCATAGAAAACTTCTGTGCTTTAGAAATTTCTATACTAATTGATTTTATTTCTTCTTCGACAACAATATTGAGAACATGTACACCATAGTAAAAATGCTGTACAGTTTGATTACCAAATTCACTATTAATTTTTTCTCTTAGAATACACCCCATTACTAGCATATTAGTGGCATTGTTAGTCATAATTCCTAAAAGCTTTTGACCAAAATCTATTGTTTGTAAAATTTTAATAATTGTATCAGCTTGGTTAAGTGCAGTATGTGTTTCATTAAATAGGATAAGATCAAGTAAGATACGATTCATTTTTCAATCAGAATTTATCCAATATGCAGTTATAGCAATGTAGAGTTGTTGGTTACAAGAGGTTCTTCTATCTATTGTAATTAAGATTTTTGATTGAATTGTATTTAATAAAAATTTTATTTTATTTTTATTTTTTATATAATCTTAACTAACCTAAGTTAAAAGTGTTTATTGATACAGAAGTCTGTAACAAGTTCGAGTTCTATTAAAAAATTATTAAATTCTGTATTTTCTGCTAATAAAAATAATTGTTGATTAACAACCATCTATTTTAAAAATTTATTGTTTAAAGTGTCTACTTTATATTTGTCATTTGGGCCATAAAGGTCAAGTCATTAAGATCTACATTGCTTGATTTTAGTAAACTTAGCAGAGTGAAAATTTTGAAAATGCCAGTTAATGGTTGATATTGCAGTTAGGCTATCAAATTCTTGCTTGTATAGTTTGCATATTTTACCTTCATCATCATCAACTAATAAAAAGTAATCTCTAACAAGTGCTTGATTATTTGCAGATGAGATGTTTTTTTGTTTTTTTTTGTCTTTTTTTTACATTTTCTAAGGACAAAAATATGATTTTATCACTAGTAAAGGTTTCTTTACTAGAAGTTTCTTTATTTATAAATTTGAATTCATCAAATTCAAATTGATTTGTTTCAATAATAAATTCAAATTCATTTGTTGTTATAATTTTTTTTTTTTTTTAAAAAAAGCCTTTAAATAAAAATTTAACACATTATTTATTAAAATATATAGTTTTTGTTCTTTAAAAAAAGTATATCATCTTTTTTACTATATGCTTTTATTATTATACTAGAAAGGCCTATTGCCTTTATTACTACATTATATTGGAGAAGGCATATTTATCTTTATTAATATATGCTTCATTATTACACTAAAGAAGACATATTTACCTTTATAACTAAACTAAAAAAACACATTATCTTTGTTACTACATTGAGCAAAAATTCTATCTTTATTACTATATGCTTTATTATTACACTGTAAAAGGCATATTACCTTTAACTACACTAGGAAAGGCATATTCATATCACCTTTATTACTACACTAAGAAAGGCTATTGCTTTTGTTATTAAAAATTTAACTTGATAAATGTTAGATTTTCTAGCTTTTATATCAAAAATAAGATAGTTTACTTTAAAACAAGAATGCTATTATTGCTTAAGAAATGATTTATTTACCAATTAAATTCTTTTACGCAAGCTGATAAGATAAAAATAGTCAAGTTTAAATTATACTTTTTTTGTTATTAAATACAAAATGAATTGATTTTTATAAGTTTAACTTACTTTTTGTTTTATGCTTCATGTGATGATTAACTTTGTCATTAGTAGAAAATATGTAAGATGCAACATCTTTGATGTTATTTAAAATTTCTAAATCATAACTAAGTTGGTCAAGAGCATCAACAAACTGAATTAGTTAAAAAACATGAATAAGCTTCTCTTATTATTAAATACTCAATGATTTAACTTCTATAATATAAACTTACTTACCTATAGTTATTTAAATCCAGAAATGGTTAACTTCTTACTGTCTTAAATATACTACTTTTTGCTAAAAAGTTAGTTTAAAATTATACTTTTTGTTATCAAATACACAAACCAAAAGCTATAAACTATTCAAAATTAAGGCATATGTCTTATAAAAAATATACCTTATCAGCAGCACAAGGCCAAAAGCAGATAATGTTTAATAAAAGCAGATCCTAGAATTTTTAAAGAGACTGGGTCCAAGAATTGATCCAGGATCTGAGTTCTATATAGCTCTCATGTGATTTAAGAATCAAGTCCTTACTAATCCTTTTAAGGATCAGTAAGAACTGGTTAGGATTCAATCTCAAAGAACTAATTAATATCTCTAATATCTATACAACTTAATAATATAATTTAACAACTTAATAACATAATTTAACAACTTAATAATGCTAATAATTTCACTATTTCTTTCTTACCAACCAGACATGACCTACTAACTAACTGGATCTCAAATGCTAATAACAAATAAAAAGCACTTTATCATGCATGTAATCTTAAAAATATTAAAATAATTAGATAACAAATTAATAAAAATATAGCTAAAAGATGTGATAAACTTTAGTCTTAACCAAAATCAATAATTAATAGCATATTAAATCATTACAAAAATCCTGTAAAGTTTGATAACATCAAAACAGATCATGATGTTGTTACAAAAATAAAGAAAATTAAAACATATATCTAACAATACTTCAATCAATAGACAGCATATAGACAAATTAATTAACAAATTTACAACTCTTCTTGGTACAATGAATATTAACCTAAAACAAACATTCATTCAGAATAGTATCAAAAGATATTAGCAGAAATTTCTGAAGAAAACATTTCTAATACACTTGCAAAACTTCCAAATAATAAAGCTTGTGACCCTTTAGATATAAGTTATGAAATGCTTAAACATGCAGGTTTACTATTTTTCCAAACTATAACTGCTCTATTTAATAGATATATTTCAACTAACAGTATGCTCAAACAATGAAAAAAAGAAAAAATCTTTCCTATCTTCAAAACACCTATTTTTGATAGAAGTTTAACTAATACTAGACCTATTAGTCTTTTAGAATATATTAAAAAATTATATACCAAACTTCTTACTAACTGCTTAAACATTACTTTTACTTCATATCCAATATTATCTTCTTATAACTATATTGCTCTTCCTAGTAACAGTATAGCAATATTAATTCATATACTTAACAATATAATTGAAGCCTCTTGTAACTTCAAAGAACTTTGGCTTATATCTTAGAATATAAGCAAAACTTATGATTCAGTAAACTCTAACTTCTTTTACAAGTCTCTAATATGAATCAACATGTCATCTAAATTAGTAAAAGTTCTTACTAATCTGCTTGATGATCATTACAACTGAGTTATAACTAAGCTTGGACTTACAGATTCATATTTTGTTAAAAATAAAATTGTTTAAGAAGAATCAATAATATTATTATTTTGGTATATTTACTATAATCCTTTTATTCACAAAATTGCATCTCAATTTATAGATTATATTTTTTCAATATTATAGAAAACCAGTCTACAATCTTCTTAACACTAACATCTTCAAGTCTCTACCTTAGTCCTTGCTTATATAGATGAAATATTATAGATTGCTAATCCAAAAATAAGTTAGAACAAATTACTCAAATAGTAGCATTTTTCTACCAAATGGCCAATCTTCAGATTAATTCTACTAAGTCAATATTTGGCACAAATATTGAACCTACTTCTATTACTTTTTTTAACTCTACTCTCAACTCTATTTCTAATAATCAATCTTTCAAATACCTAGATTGTTGGTTTACACTTAACAACAAACAAATCTATACAATCAAATTAATTTAAGAAGAAGCTTTTCAAGAAATTAATACTGCAAATACAAAAAACATTACAGACAAACAAATTATTTACATTATTAATACAGTTATTATTCCAATATTAAAATACAAAATATATAATATTATACTTTTCAAAACTATATATAATTGCATACTGGCTAAATATCTTACAGTTGCTAAACACAAATCTTATCTTGCCTGATCAATTCCTAATAGTACAATGTTTCACATTTTTCTGTACAATATATGTAATATTTGAAATATACAATTACAACACCATATCACTATTTTTCTTTAACAAATTAATAATTCCTATTTACTAGGTGTTTCTACATATATTAGATTACAACAACTTCAAAACAACCTTTGGTTTACTATAAACATTCTTGAACATCCTCAACCTAATGTTGATGATCAAGATAAATATACTTTTAATTTTAAATTATTCAATTATTTTTACAAATTTCTGTCTTTATTAGAGCTAATAGTAATACATCATAGCCAAACACTATCTATTATTAGCTTCAACTTCTTGAACTTATTCTCCAATACTACCTCAAATATACAACCTTTAAAAAACAACTTAGATGACTAAAGCTACTTTACCTTAAACAACTTTGCATCTTAGACAATATTATACTTCATAAATGACTACATCTATTACCAAGAATTCTTTATTTGTCTAAAGGCAAAAAACTGATCTAGTTTACTAAACTTAAAAATTCTATTATAAAAAATCATCATTATCATTTTTTTAAACTTCAATACCAATAGCAAGAAACTAACCTCTTTGCATATAACATATACAATATTTCTAAAAACTATAAACTATGGCTAATTACCTTTAATAATAAGAAAATTACATATTATAGGCAAAATTCATAAATATCTTACAGATTCTAACCAAATATTAATTATATACTGGCAAACAAATATTAATATAAACAGTACTGATTACTACTTATTTCAACAGATTAATCTTGTTTCTTGTCCAGACTGTCAACTTAACTTACAACAAATAACTATATTATGCATTATTAATACTTTATCTATTACATCTGTTTAATTTTTTGGCAAAATTATTTTAAACTTAGTTAAAATAAATGCAAACTATCTAGACCTTCTTAGCTCTACTGCAATTAAATGGCTTTTGCTAAATCCTTTACTACTATCATTGCCTTTTATTTCTATTTCTAACTCTATCTTATCTGAAATTTTTGAAGCAAGTAAAGCAACTAACAAACTTAATCAAATATCTTTTAATAATCTACTATATAACTTATTTAACTTTTATACTAATGGTTTAGTAATTGGTATAAGTACAAATAACTGTACTATGGGTATTAGCTAAATTCAAGTGAATTTTAATGACCAAGTTATCTATAAATTTATTGGCAAAGTTTATCTTTAGCCATCCTCTTACAAGGCTGAACTCTTTTTTATTCTGTTTGTTATTTCAACTACTTTCTGAAATTCTATAATTAACATCTATACAGATTTCTAATTTATAATTTCAAAATTTATTCAACTTAATCAATTATCTCTAAATTCTAATAAACTCTTTAAATTTAACTTTTGGCTATTATAACATACCTTACTAAATATTATTTAAATTATACAAATTAAATATTATTTTTCATAAAGTTCAAGCCCACCAGACAACACTCTTAACAATCTAGTAGACTCACTTGTTAAGCAATATATAAATGAACTTCTATTACACTTTAACTATATAAATATTTACAACTTAAATAATTTATTATTCTTTAAAATAGAAAAATTTTCTGTTAAACTTTCTACCAGATATTTTGTTAAAAGTATTTGTAAAGCTTACAATCTTATGCTATAATTATCACAAAAATAAAAT